GGATTCATTAGGAAACTCTCAGGTTCCCAGAGTACTCAATTTCTCAGTTACACTCTCTAATCTGCTGTGTGCTTTGAGAGCAACGCCGACACAGAAGGAGGCTTCACAGCAAGAGCTCTTCAGCCAGGTGCTGAAGAGCCACGGGAATGAGGCCAGTCGGCACAAAACAGAGCGGACACCCTCTTCCCCCCATCAACGGTGCGATGGGAGGCTCATGGACATACATTAGTGGGGCTTGGGCCCTTAGGATCATCCTGTCGGGCAATTCCATAGAGTATGTGCAAGCTGCCTGCGTACCTGGCCCCACTGCACACCATGTCTTACAAACGGACAGCGCGGGACAACCTTGACACTGCGAGCTAACAAAAAACACCAAAAAGAGACATCCAAACCAGCAACGCTCTGCATTTCTGCTGAAATGCAACCATTGGGGCAAGAAGTGAATCAAATAAAGGCAAGGTGATGGGGGCAGAGTTAGGAGGAAAAATGACACCAATTTCTGTATCTGTCTCTGAAACTGCTACCAGCCCATTACCGGGCTGCGCAAGCAGACAACTCCCCTCCGTGCAGCTCCAGAGGGAGGAGGGACACGCATCCATTTGCACCAGTGCGTCCTTGGAGCGGTGGAGAGGCCCTGGTCAGCGCTGCCAGCACTGGGAGCCGGCCAGGCAGGGAAACCCAGCGGAGGACCTGCACAGGGGCAGCCAGTTTTGGCATGCCAAAGCATCCCCAAAGTCATGGCACGGCATGAGAAAGGCGTCTGAAGGATGGAGGGATTAAAGAGGAGCTTTCTCCCTCCCTCCTCTCTGGCTTGCCTTTCTCCCCCAGCATTTGCAGGGCACCTTTACACAAGAGCCGGTAACAGGGCAGAGGCCAAACTCCCAGCTCTTCTCCTCCATGATGGCTCTGGGCTGCCTCCTGCCCAGAGCACATTCCCGGTGCCGGCGAGCACAGGCCGGGCCCACGCGCTGCCTGCGCCTCCTGCTCTTGCTCCGAGTCCCCACGGCCAAGGCTGGCGGCTCCAGCCAGGATGCCGCTTGAGGCTCACGCGTGGCCCAGGGACAGGAATCCCACTTGCGTTTTTCCACCTGGCCCCTCTCCCCCTCCTCGGGCTGCGCCTCTCGGTGATCATCATGAGCTGGGCTGTTAGTCAATCACACAGCTGCAGAGAGCTGGGAGTCAAAGCAGCAGAAAGGTGAGAGTGATGATATCCCAGGCTTTGCCTCCTCCCTTTCTCCCCTGGCTATGTGCTGAACTGAGAGCTGCGCAGGGAATTTGCTGCCACGAGAAAGAAAAACACAGAGCTCTCCCTGCCTCTCCGTCCCAAATTCACTGCTGGACAGGGGTTTCCTTAGGTCATGACTTGACAGCTCTGCTGGGCAATAAGAGCTACCTTTCCCATCCCATGGCATGGGGACAGGCATGTTCATGGAATGAAATGGGCCCAGCACAGGAAGCCCCAGACCAGTGAGGAGGATGATGACCACTGCATCGTAGCATTCTTGCTGGGGCAGCATGCAGCTCTTCTCTTCTTGGTTCCTCTCTAGAGGACATCCTGAAGCCACGCAAGGCCACCACATATCTGTTCCCTCCTGCTGTTTGCACCTGACAGCGCTCTTCTCTCCAAGAGCCAGGGAAAGCTTTCCGAGCAGGAAGCTGTGGAGTGCTTGAAGCTCTTGTGCTCTTGAGTCTCATCAGTCATTGGTGCTGGTGTAGGTTTCTGCCATGACCTACAATGAAGAATTTCTTGCATCTTTCTTGACAGGGCAGTGGAAGGGCCATTGCTTCAATAATATTCTACTGTCTGTGCTAGAGCACAAATTAAGCAGAAAACAAGTGCAGGCAGAGACTGCAGACCAGCCTGTATATAACGCAGGGGCCAGAGACTTCAAGTGAAAACACTTCCAATGTCTCCAGTCAAGCTTTTCAGTCATTTCACATCTCTTGAGCTCAAGATGCTAGTGGTTATATACCAAAAAGGGACTAGAGAACTATAAACCTACCCCGACTATCTTAATCTCACCAGTTGACCAGGCCCAACTTAGACAGGACTCTGGCAACCCCCCCTTTGAGCAAACAGCCTTCTTCTGTAAAACTGTCTGTCCACAACCACACCAGTCATGATGGCTACGAAAAGTCCATTCAACAGGTACCAGGACTTTTGAATTCGCTTCCTTGACCCATACCTCTCCTCATCTCCCTCTCCCATAACTTCAGAACAGTAGAACAGGGGCACCCAAGATTTTCTAATAACATATTTGTGAAAGCAAAAGTTTGAAACCTGGCGTGCAGCAGTATGGGTAGAAGTCTAGTGCTCAACCTCTACCACAGGAAATGCTACATTAACTAGGCAGGATGCAGATTCTAGTGACCATGCAAGTTCTCTGACCAACACTAGTCAATCATACAGGGAAACAGAAATAATTCCTACCAAGGACTCAATCCGTACGGCTTCCATTGGGCGCAGGAGGGGGAAGACCATGTCCCTCACCCAGTCACTGCCTGCAAGGGATGCCAGGCACTGCCAGGGCTCAGCAGAGAGGCTGAACAACAGCGCAGCCAGAAGCAAAAGGCTCCCAGCAATTACTCCTAAGCATTTATACAAAAACATTCCTAGGACAGCAAAAGGCAAAACCTGTTTCCTGGACCCCTTCTAAATTCTTAATTCTAAAGTCCTTGCTCTAAAGCAAGGAGAAAATAGCATTTCACAATGTTATGGAAATAAAGTTTTCCAACTTATTTCACACTTGCAAAACAATACTTTTTTCACCTAATCTCCTCCTTAGAAATGCCTAATTTTAGCCAAAATTTAGCATGTGTACATATGGGAAAACAAAAAAAAAAACAAACAAACGAAAAAAAAAAACAAACAAACAGACCCACAGAGCAGCCCAAGGCAGACACCCAGGATGGATGGAAACTTAAACCTCAGCACTTAGTCTGACAAGGTTATCAAAACTGACGATAAGGCCTTGTTCAATAGAGTAGTGGTAAATAAGTGTGTAAACT